AGTGCTGAGACACGCGTATATCTCTTTATATAGAATCTCGATTTAATAACTTACACCGGCGTCTAAGGTAGGCTTCCACTACAATACCTTACTTATGAGTCCAGTAGTGGAAGCCGGGACGAAACGCCAAACATTACGTGATATTCTTCGCAATATAGAATATTAGAATATATTATCAGATTTAGATTGACTCTTATTCGCCATTCTCAACGTATTAATCATTAATTAAACCTTCCATGTTGACTTGTCTCGCGAGTTCAGCTTCCACAGCCAACACACCCAGGCTGGATAGAATACTTATATAGTTATATTAAAGACATTATAAACCTATATACGACATAGGAACAGACGATGCGAAAAATTAAAAATTTCCGCATCGTCTGCTCCTATGTCGTATATAGGTTTATAATATCTTTAATATAAGTATAAGTACATACTTCTTGCACTCAATCTCTCATCAATTATCTCTTTTTATAAATTAAGTATAAACATGAACCTCCCCTCTATGAATATGATTTTTTTAATCATTTTTTTGTAAAAAAAGGTTACTCTCTTTGTACTAAAAATCCGTGGCCGCGAGCCCCCTATGAGGATCCGGGCCCCGGGACTATATAGTCCCCCCTGCCCCGCCCTCTCGGCGGCCCTGGTGGCTGGTATATACTCGATAAGATGACTCCAACTTTTAAACCCTAAATGCCGATTACCAAAATATAGAATCTTTAAAAAATCTAAATATTACTAGTATTATACAATATAAAATGCATTAAATTTAGAATTGTGCGTTACAGAATACATTTAAAATATAAAACTGGTGGTTGCAACGCTAAAAAAATATATCAATTTTGAAAATAAAGCCGTCTAATGGTAGTAGTAGTACGATTCAATAAGTATATTCAATATATACAATATATTGTATTTAGTATTATATAGTCGATAAAAAAGTGCTCTTGGCTATTTATATTACTAAAAATACTATCATAATTACATTCGTATCTTTTTATTATTAAATCATATAAAATATTATTAGATAAATATCATAAATATTATTTTAAATTAAAAATTAGTATAAACTAATGAATTTAATTGAAGAAACAAAATAAATGGTGTAGCCGAATAAGCACATGAAAAGTGCCACCAAAGTCAAATTCAATTTTCAGTACCTACCATTGTTAAACTTGATAAAAGATAATTATACACCAAATTTTAACCTGCTAAATCTATCCATGCTGCAGTTATGATGAAAAATGTCAATTTAAATTTTTATTTTTATTTTCCTACCGTGTGAATTAAAAAATCTGAAAAAATTTGACACACTTTTTAGCATAATGTTACATCTAAAAAGAATTTTTTTATATTTTTTTACGATAAATGTGTTTTTTAAAAAAAGAAAAAGGTTTTAAATGCATGTTTTTTATTGAAAATATTCGAGTATTGTCTTCAACAAGTTATGGTGAATTAATCATTCCCTAATAAATGAATTATGGCGTATTCAGATTTTTTAAAGGTGTGGAGCATTGTTTTAAAAATTGAAACTCAGTTTTTTTTAAATCATAGAAAGTGAAAATGCCTAATCGAGTCTTGGAACAGGATGTTAGTGTTTTATTATCATTGTGTGAATATTATATACCGTGTATGTAGTCTCCCAATCGCGTGCCGAAATTTTTCTTCAGACTTACAACGCAACTCTAAACAACTACCACGATAATATCACTTTTTGTTAGATTGACACACAATCTAACAAATTTCGATGCCATAGCATCTTATTAGATCTTAATAATATGTTGAAAGACATATATTAAAATTTAATGTTAAAGTAATGATAATTTAAACTCTGCGAAAAATAAGTTTACGAAGAATATCACAATTCTGTTCCAAGACTCGATTAGGCATTTTCACTTTCTATGATTTTAAATCTTACGAGTCTATTGATATCATCATTCAATTTATATATCAGTTTTTTTATTTTTAAAACAATGTTCCACACTTTAAAAAATCTAAAATAATTTTTTTTAATGCAATATTATACTAAAAAGTGTGTCAAATTTTTTCAGATTTTTGCAATTTTTTTTTATATTTAATATTCTTCATTTGTATTTTTATTATATATAATATAATATTGAATGTGACTCTTTGCAAACATCTTTTTTTATACAAAATAATAAACATAAAAATGGCATTGTAAGAGTCAGATAAATAAGAAAAAATTTTTGTAAACAACAAATTAAACCATATATTCCAAGTTTTATCTATTTTATGATACAATACTTAAAAACTAACTTAAAATATAACATAACAATTTTTTCTTATTTATCTGACTCTTACAATGCCATTTTTATGTTTATTATTAATTATATTAATTATAAATATTTTGTGCTGTTGGGTTATTCCTTTCATATTCTATTGTATCTTGTATCTATAAGCTGTAAACCAATTCGAGTCCTAAAAATGCGCGGAGTCAAAGAACGCGGACCTTTTTTCATGTCATGCATCATCCTAGGTTTCTTGGAGTACGTTGATCCATTTCGCTCGCAACATTCATGTGGAATCATTGTATCCTTATTGTTTATCAAATGTTAAACTATATATAGGACTAATAACGCTCGCGAGCGTTATTTTGAGAGTCAAATGGAACACACTCCCTGTGAAAGTGCGGCTGACACGTGCGTTTTCTGGGTCAATACAATTCCAGCGGAAGTGCGCGAGCGTATCCGCGAGCGCGGGCCCCGAATAACCTCACTTCTCTTCGGTACAGTCGCCCGTGGAATTATTGACCATGCAACATAAATGTCGCAAAAGGTACCTCTCTCATACGTTACCGCGGTACTCCGTGAACGCAATCGCGACGGATCGGTCGTGTAAAAACAAAATCAAACATCGTATACGGCGCATTGCAAATGTTTATTATATTACATATTCATCGAATCGAGCTAAATCACGCCGTGTTAGAATAAATCGATGAAACACGACGCGATTAACTCCAATTCGGTGTGTCTCAGAGCCCTTCGCCACCGACTGTACTTTTCCCGCGTACAGTCCGCGGGTCAAGTATTGACCGCCGCTCCGCGTCGGGACGCAAGTATATATTGCCATGCGACTCGCGAATTCGTCACGTAGTAATTTATTTACGTGACTCGGGAACGCGACGAGGGACACGCCCGAGGCTCACTAGGTACATATCGTGCGCCAATCGTCCCGTTGAACCTCGCGGGCAAGCCAGAAACGTCGGGCAGAACTCCAGAATTTCGAACGGCACACCTGTCGCTCGCGTCGATCACCGCGGACTGTACCGACGATGGCGCGGTACAGTCCGCAGGTCTTCGACTGACGACGCGCGACGAGCAGCAACGACTCCGTGAGGCTCTCCCAGGTTCTGCGAGCCGCGGGCGCGATCCAGGAACCTGGATTATACGCGCGACCTGCGTCTCGGCGATCGCTCCATCTCGCGCGCGTCGTCGGACGTCGCGACGCCGGGCCGGCCGCGGGACAAAAGAATTTCGACGGACTGTACTCGGCGGCAGTTGTATTGACCGCGGACGCGTGTCCCTCCCGCTGGGTATCCCTTCGTCTCGCTGCGGCGCGGAGCGGAGCGGTGAGAAGCGTAGCGAGGAGAAAAGGAGAGCCACACGCGTTTCGGGGTTTCGGCAAGACGAGGAAGAGGCTGAAGAGGACCTGGCGGCGCAACGTTGGCGAACGTGGTGATAACCGCCGCGCGAACTCGATGCGGGAGCGACGTGCCCGCGTCCGCGGGTGAAAAAGAACGCGACGACTCCGCGAGGATCCCGTCGAGGCGACGCTCTCCGACGACGCTCGGCGATGTCGACAACCCGGGAACGACGACGACACTCGCCGTTGAGTTAATCAATTCTGCGAGAATCGCAGAATTCCTTTTCCAAGATGCTCGCGAGTGATCGCAAAGCTGCGCTTTGAAAGAAAGAGAGAAAAAGAGATTCGAAGGCGACAATCGGTGGTCGCCTCTCGTCACGTGATCCGCGTCCTTTCGCGTACGTCACACGTCGCGTGCGATTTAAATCCCGCTTGTCCCGTCGACCCGAAGACGAGAAAGATGGGCAAGACGAGAGGCGTCCACGAGACAACCCCCGAATTGAGGAATCGGATGGTGGGAATGTACGAGGCCGGTCTGGGCCTTCGAGAGATCGCCGCCGCGGTCAATTGTTCGGTAAATAAATCTTACGTTCATTATTTCTATGAAATTATATGATAGATAAAAATTATAATAGATATAGCTAATTTTACACCGTGCGCTTAGTCTGCGACCTATTATAGGTGTCTTTGTTTAACCTACAGGATAAACAAGGATATCTATTGTTTAGGCTGCAGTCTAAATGCACGGTATGTAAACGTAGTCAATATCTGTTTACTATTCTAAGAATGTAAACAGTTCTCTAGTCTAAGAATTTGAAAATAACAAAGAGTAGGTGTTAAGGTTTATCTATATTAGTTCATCTCTATCAGTGTAAATTAGCTTTAATCTTCTAGTTCTAAGAATGAAAGAGAAATGATTTTCTTAACTCTTAGAACTAGAAGATACAGAATATAAGTTAAGCTGAGATTAAAATTAAAATTAATCTATATATATATTAGTCTAATCTCGGTTTAGCTTATCTTTTTCTAATCCTAAGAATTAGAAAAGAATATATTATAGTTTTTCTAATTCCTAGAACTGAAAGAGATATATAAAAAATAAGTTAAATCGAGATTCAAATTAATTTACATTAATTTATTTCTATCAATGTAGATTAGTCATAATCTCAGTTTGACTCACTTTTTATCTTTTTTTTTAAAGATAAAAAACTTATAGATACAATAAGATTTACTTGTTTTACCTTCTTAGAAGTAAGTTTAATTGGAATTAAAGTTAATTATAGTCCTATCAATTAGTGTCTAATCAATTATTTTACGAATTGATTCATTTTTACTGTTTTTGAGACTGGAGCAAGATAGAGAGTAAGTTAAATTAAAGAGATTAAAGTTTATTTACATTGATAGAAGTGGACAGTATTCCTTAATTTGGAATCCTAATACATTGTGGTCTTTATATGCTTTGTTGAATCTTCATGCCTAGTAAGAATATACTTACTAACATCTTGACTGTTTTTAGCAACGTACGGTGAAGAGATGGCTGAATAGATTCGACAAGGAAGGCACGGTGGAGACACGGGAACGTTGCGGCCGCAAGAGAGCGACTACTGTAGAACAAGATGAAGCAATAATTCGTTTGGCCACTCAAACGCCCATAACGGCGGCAAAGGCAGTGCTTCCTGCATTAGGTCTCACCTGTTCCGTGGATACCGTGAGAGAAAGATTGCACAAGGCTGGAATCCACAACTGGAGCCCCTCGCGCAAATACATGCAAAGGATTCCACTGGGGTTAATATTTTGAAATACATTCTAGTCTATATTTTTTCAAACATTAAATCTGTTCTTTTCAGCTATACTTCTTGCATAATTCATCTTTCCTCTTTTTCTCTCCACGCTGAAGAAAAAAAGAGAAATAGCGCAAAAGAACAATCATTGTTTTACAATAATAAAATATGTATAATAATAATAAATAATAATGTATATAGAAATACATTAGAGAGACATCAAGTTCAATAAATATTTTATTTTTGTCCTTCAGCTCATACTTGGTATAAAAATTATGACAAGCTTATAGACATGTAACTTTATCTCAATTCAAAATTGTTTAAATCAAATTTCAGGTTTTAAATATAAACAAACAAGCGTCTTGTTTATAAGACTAGTTCTAAATAAGCTTTTAATGTCTCGTCTCTGACTATGCGATTAATTTTTCAGTGATGCAGACGGCGCAGCGATTCAACAAGCGGTATGGCGGCCGACCGGCACTCAATTAGGCAAAAAGAAAATTTCCAAAGACTCGAACAAGTCCGAAAAGAATAATGTTACAGTTAAAAAGAAGAATCCATCAAAAAAAGTAAGACCTCGAGAGGTGTACGTTGACGATGGCGCACCGCCGGAAAGTCTGAAGCAGACTCAGAACACCGAACAACAACAGCAGCAACAACAACAGCAGCAGCAACAACAACAACAGCAGCAGCAACAACAACAACAGCAACAGCAAGAATTTGTATTTTCTCAACAAAACCTTCCTCCACTACCTTCCGCTCCTCAAGTTACCGAAATGCAACCGTCTGTATCCACGAGTCAAACGGAGTTTGGGAACGCGTTGAGTCTAGTGCAACAACCACAGCCCATCTATCAACATCCAGGATTGAGCATGGTACAAAATTGGCCGTTGGATTTGGTGCAAGGAAGTCATCATTATCCACAGGTTTGTCTTTTAAATTTCTTTTTAAGACAAATGAAATATATGTATATAATGTTTGTATATTGTCCACCAGGGACAACCAAATCCCTTGCCTCATGAGCATCCACCACCGCCGACGCAACTGCAAGAGTTACACACACAGCAGGAACAGCAGCATATGCAGGCACAAGTACAGACGCGACTGCAAGATCAATCGCACCAGCAGAATACTCAGTCTCATCATCACAATCTTGATCAACAACGACTGACCGTAGAGCATCAAATTCAGCAACAACATCAGCACTTGCAGTCTGGCAGACCTAGTCCTGAACAGACGAACGAGAACGTAGGATCGGACACGTGTAGTTCTAGCGATTCATTCGTCCTAAGAATCAGTCGTTCCAATAGCGAGTCGTCCTGCGAATGTCAACAGAATAAGAAATCGTCGAAGAAAGGAAAGAAATCAGGAACGGAACGGCAAAGGAAAACGAAGAAAGGCGGCAAAGCAAAGGGAACATTAGAGACTAGCGTGGAGATTAGGAATCGTATGATCGGAATGTCCGAAGCTGGACTGTCTACCTTGTCCATTGCGCTGGCGATCGATAGATCGGTATGTCAAACATATATCTTATTTGATAGATTTTAAATTAAGCTAGACATAATTCATATATTGTACATCTGATCTATTGTATATCCATAGATTATGTGTGAATAGTTATGAAAGTTGTATTACAAATTCGAGAAAGTTAACACAAGAGATTTACATGGACGTGATTTTGAATTAATCAGGAACGTACTGTTAAAAGATGGTTAGAACGTTGGCATAAGGAAGGCAATGTACAAACGAAGGAACGAAAGGGTCGACGTCGAATTACTACCAAGGAACAGGACGAGGCCATTATCGCGATGGCTACTCAGCATCCTCTCACCGCCGCTAAATATGTAGCACCTGCGTTAGGTCTTAAGTGCAGCGTGGATACAATTAGAGAAAGGCTTCACAAAGCTGGGATACATAGCTGGAAGTTGGGCAAAAAGCAAGGGTTAGATGAATTATCTTTATTTTGCTTTTAAAATATTCTTCAGGAATTTCTAAAAAATTTTTATAAAGAGTGAATTTGTTGAGAAATATGTTTCCATAATTAAAACGCATTCTAATTGCGAAACATTTTTTGTAACATAAGAAACGAAGTGTAATTAATGTTATGTATGTTTTTTTAGCGAAGGCAATGCAGTCCACACAGTCCATTTGTGGCAACCAAGCGGCAATCGTCCTAATAAACCAAAAATGCCGGGAGAAAAGAAAAAGAAGAGTAGCGATAAAAAACGCAATCCGATAACAAATAATCAAAAACGTATCGTGCGGAAGAAGAAGAGTAACGAGCCGCCGCCACCACCAAAAGCGAGTACACCTCCGGCAAACATAATACAGGAACAGCCTGCATTACCGTTCCATAATCCCGGAAGCAGTAAGTGTAGCATAATAATATTTCCTAATAATGTACACATTTATTTAGGAAAAAAAAAAATAATTTTTTAAAATCATTTTCTAGTGGCAAATTATGTTTCGGGTCCTAACATAATGCAACCGGTGCATAATATTGCCGCACCACCTCCCGCACTGCCGCAACCACAACCACCTCCGCCACCGCCAGCGCCGCAACTGATGCAGCCGATGGGCCCAATAATGCAACAGAGACCGGACTGCAGATTAGCACCGATAGTTCCACCCGTGTCGGGTCCGAGCAATTCAGGCGTCGCCTATCCATCGTGCATGGTCGGCGGCAGTAGTCACGCCAGTCACATGGAGCAAACGGACCCTCTAAACTACGAACCATATATTTGGAGTTTTTAAACACATCAGTACGACAATCTATATATAACCGCATATATAGGATTGAAAATTGAAAAGTTTAATTGCATTTGAACAAACTCCGTCATTTATTAGAGATCCGCAAAATTTCTATGAAAAGGGTTCCGGCAATTGAAAACATTTGAGAATCAGTGATACAGAGATTTTGTCAATATGGTTAAGATAAGTATTTAAAAATTACGACTGTGTGTACGATTTAACTTATACATAAATTGCAATATTAGAAGATACGTCTGTGTATGTGCAAGAAGAAAAAGCTCGAATAATTTTATTATATCTAAGGAAAAATTATTGACTTTATTAACTTTAAACAGAAACTTTTATAATGCCATACAGCGTTTAGACCAATTTAAATCAACATGAAGACTACACCATGTACATATAGAATCGTAGTAGAGCAAAGACGTACGTCACGTTTATTTTGCTAAATATTGTCTCTTTAAATAATGTGCAGTCATTAAAAAATTATTGTATATTAATAATTGATTTTTACACAATACGATCAAATTTCATTAAATTAATGTTTAACATTATTTATGTTGTAAATATTTTTAACAGGTGAAAGAAAACATGATCTGAATATCAAATGAATTTAGCAATTTAACAAATATCGTTGATTCGGCATACAAATTATCAATAGCTATAATGTAGAATAGAAAATCTAAGAAACTTTTTGACGAATTCAGCGATAGATCTATTTTCTATGTATAACTCCTATTCAATCTTTTTTGTGAGAGTTATATATATACATATATATATATATATATGATTTTACATAGTGTATATTCTATATATTTAATTAATATATGTATATGAATCTATTTTAAAACTACAGTACAAATTGGCACGTTTGAATTAGAAAAGCGTGTAGCAAATCAATTTCAAGCAGGCTGTCAAAATACATTCAATGTGTAAACTTCTTTTCTTTTTGATATCCGTATACAAATTTTTTATCATTAATGCCATTACATTATTATAAGATTATATCATCGTTTCATATACACCGATCTTTTAATGCAGTATCCAATTAAAGATTAGTATTCGTTATATAAAGTTTTTTTTTAACAAAGCAGCATTCGTCCGTATACAATTACCGGTGGTACAAATGCAAAGTAGTGCACTAGTTACACGAAAAGTGTGAGATATTGTAGATAAATTTCGTCTGATATTTCAAATGCCCATCTTCCTTTATATACTAAGTAATATCAAATAGTAGAGTATTACGTACTCGGGTGAGAATGTGACCCGTTGTATTTTACAACACGTGACATTACGTCAATGATAATATCGTCATGTATTGTATATAACACACGATTAATAGAAATATTTTCAGCTATTTCCACTAAGATCTCCACCCCGTTTTGTATTTGTTTTATAAGGGAAAATAAAAATAATTACTAGACTAAATTATATTTATACTGTAGACCAGTTTCTATTCTTTGAGACTAATATAAATGTATCTTTTTTCATACAGAAAGGGAACACTAATCTAGTCGATTGCATGATCACATGTAGCTTTACTTCGAATTACAACTACAATTTTTATATTTTATCACGTGAGTTCCCAGATTTGTGAGACGTTATTTACGACCGCGTTGGGGTTACTTTTGTGGAACATAAAGTATCCCTGAATCTGTGCCGGACTAACGTTTTTCTTGAAGGTCATGACACTGTTCGCAAATTCCTTTGCAAGTGCGCCAGAATCTTTGTCCGGTTCTTTATAAAATCTTAAAAACATTTGCTCGACTTGACTTGTACTGCACCACCCTGAAAAAGATAGCATCGAAATAATTATTTAAGTTCGTCAATTATATTTCTAGCTAATTTTATTTTTTATACGTACCGATGTATTCTTTTACATCGACTCTGCCCGGTCTAACGAGCGCAGGGTCTAATCTATCCAAATAATTAGTCGTCATAAATAATATCCTAGCTTCTGTAGAAGCCACACCATCCAAACAGTTTAATAAACCACTGAACGTTACTCTATTGAGACCATCGTATGCTGCCTTAACTGAAATTGAAAATATATAAAATATGAGAATAACTAATTATTTATTATTCTAATCTACTCGTTTTGTACTTTATAAAAGTCGTATCTACCTTCTTTAGAATTTTCCCTATTGGTAAAAGCAGCGTCGATATCCTCGAGCAGGATGATTGTTTGCTGCGGTGCTACTGCTAATAAGTGATTCAGTCTGTCATCTGTCAGACCTCTTTCGGATAAATTTAAAACACAGATACCGCGTTCCAATTCCCCGGCCAACGCAGTAATGTACGACGACTTGCCACATCCTGGAGGTCCGTGTAACAAGTAGCCCCGGCGATATGGTATCCCTAGAAAGATTGTAGTTCCTAATTCTTGGAAAAATATATGCGTGCAGCATATATTTGGTTTTGCGATCTGTTAATGAACGACACCGGATATTCGGACAGAAAGTAGAAATCTTATAATGAATTTAGTAGATAATAGAATATCACACTACAATGAATTAATACACAATAAAGATTACTTTATATAAAACATCTATACAAAAATTAATTAATTTAACAGCGTTTGACTCCTTACAGCCACTAAGATTATTCTTATCCATTAATTTTTTGTATTTTGTTTTAAACATAAAGGAGTCTTTAATACAATTTTTTAATTTTTGATTATTGTTATTCATTTTTTAATAAAACATCTAAATGTAGTAGCATAATATAATTAATTTTTTAAATAATTTAAAGAAAGAAATAATACATATATGTATATTCTGTTAGAAATACCAACATTTTTTATTCAGTAAAAGGAACAAGCGAATAAATTACTATGAAAATAAAGAAAGTAATAAAAAACTAAATTAAAAACTATTTTATCAGTATAAAAGACATAATTAGTTAAAAATCAACAATTTCAGAATCCTATATTTTACACAAGAATATTATTAATTTAAAAAATATAAATGATCAATAATGATCACTCTTACTTTTAACATTTATAATATATTAAATAATATAACAATTATTAGATATTTAATTGTTTAAAATATAATATGTATATACTTTTACATTAACTTCTAAATGACTGAACTGAATTCACTATTAGATTTGCGATTCAATACCTCTTTCGCTATACCATGACGGATTATTGATGAATTCTCGGCAATCTTTTAATATTCTCTCGGAGATACCGGTGTCTAGGACCACCGATTCCAGCGGTCTCCTCTTTCTGGCGTGTCCAAATTGCCGCCATTCACTCCCCATGGCAACATACATTATAGTTTTTCCTTCGTGTTCCTTCAAAGCCATTTGTCTGGCTATATGAATTAAGAATTGCCTCTGATTTTCCGATGTTACGTAATGTGTCTGTAAATACTTTAACAACTCAACCTTCTTCGAGAATATTGAAGTATATGCTTCTGTCTTTGCCAAACGCCGTCAACTGCACAGTTTCCCATGGTACGCCCATATGTAGGTCTAAAGTCTGTTGCTCCCTAGTTCTTTCTACCTTTATCCAGTTGCCCTTATATCTGTAGAAATTAAGAAAGATATTGAAGGCAGATATTCAAGCCGGAGCAACTTCAGTTTTAGTTTGTGATAAATTAATTTAAAATAAATAATAATCAATATAGAGTACTTTTCATTTGGTGACACAATTTTGTTGTCTTTGTTACTCACGAGGGAACCTCTCGAGATGTCAAATTCTGATTTTAATGAATCTTTGCGAACTTGTAGCTTACATAAAGAGATGAATTTAGAAAATATCAGTTGCAGCCAACAACGGGTTAAAGAGGTTCCCTTGTCAATGCATTTAAATATCAAGAAAGACAGAATAATGTTTCTGTCACCTTGTGTCTCACTAAATTGCACTCAAATTTCATTTTTTAGAAAGTATTAGTGTTTGAAAAAATCGGGTACATCCTGACCTGAAAAAGTGAGTTCCTATGCTAGGAATAAAGTCATATTTGGTTTTTACATGACCAGTCTCCCTCTGTTCGAAGCTGGTTTCCACAGAGAGATGCTGTGTCTTTCGTGCGCCTTTATGTGTGATCCATTGCAAAAGCCACTGATAACTCTTATCACGGCATGGCACTTCCAGAGTGATCATATAATGTCGTCTAATAAAAAAATAACATCAAATTAAATAAACAAATTTTACTTAATAAATATTATAAAAAGCTTGCTGTATAAAGCAGGTGTTTAGTATTGTACCTAAATAATACAGCTCCAAACTGAACGCCTTTCCTCAACAAGGCAGCTCCGGCTCCAAGGCCAAACAAGCCAAAGCCAGCACCAAAGTAAGGATTATCAGACAGAGCTTGCACGTATTCAAGAAGTGTCATAGTTCAAATTGGCACTGCACAATTTGCACAGACAGTAACATAAAATGTTATTATGTATATTTCAGATGAGAATTAGCAATAATAATTAACAATCTCTCTCTCTCTCTCTCTCTCTTAGAAACTCATTTATATTTATTCAATTCTCCAGTCTATAAAAATCATAGATCTATATAAACAACGTAATGTGAAATTGTGAATCAAAGTAAGTATGGGGATATGTATGTTACACCGCTGGATGATGAACCTTCAATTTTTTTTCTGCAGAGTTATATATAACTTTTCTCTCGTATTATATCTTTAAATCTGTTGTTAACGTCTTCTATATAAACTTTCAGTTTGAACGTTGAAGTATATTAATGAACAAAAGTTATGCTTTATGTCCGTCAGTGATGCAAGGTGATGCAGAAACAAACATTAAGTTACGATTGAGGAAACGTGCTTATAGAAACGTTTTGTATAAACATTCCTTGGGATATTATCGAATCAATTTACTAAAAAGTAAAAAGTGTGATCAGCTCATCACGCAATCTCCACATTCAAACACGTGTCGCAGATATAAGGATTAAGGAAGGCTGATGTAGCGACGTAGGCCGGTATTCCATATATGATGTTCGCTATGTCCATGATTATCGGTCCGTTAGACAGACAAAGACAGACAATCAATCGATACTAGCGTTCATTTTTGTGACATGGGAACTAGATACCCATTCTGTGTGGCGAAACTGTCGATAAAATCATAGTGTCAAATATGGATGTGATGTGTGTCTGTACTAACAGTGAGAAGCCTGGCGAAGATTCGAACCAAAAAATCGTGGACATTACCGACACGATCGTAGACAATTAGCTACATAGTTCAATGTCCACGTTTTATGGACATATAGGCGCTTCAAAATAAAGTAACAGCTAAATCCCGGGCATGGCTGCTCTCAAAGTTCCGTTGAACCACCCGACCGGTGCGGACGCGTCTCGGTTCGGGTGTTCGTTTTTTGTATATTTTTGAGAAAGTGTTGCCGACTTTGACCGTGCCTCGAATTTCCTTACTGATGTGTGTCCGCGTTTGGTTCGGCCCGTTCGTCCGTCCGGACGCGCGTTAGAGTGGCGTGACGACGTTGCAATCGCAGGCGCCCTGTGTTCGTTCGGGCTTCGCCATTTTTCGCGGGCATTGCATCATTCTTCGTTTACATATTACGACTTTGTTTCGTTTACACATTACGACTTTTGTTACTGGCCTTGACGATTGCCGTTGGAGCGGCTACATGGCCAATAAGAATACAAAGAAGAAGAAGAAGAAGATGGCTGCTCTCAAGTTCCGTTGAACCACCCGACCGGTGCGGACGCGTCTCGGTTCGGGTGTTCGTTTTTTGTATATTTTTGAGAAAGTGTTGCCGACTTTGACCGTGCCTCGAATTTCCTTACTGATGTGTGTCCGCGTTTGGTTCGGCCCGTTCGTCCGTCCGGACGCGCGTTAGAGTGGCGTGACGACGTTGCAATCGCAGGCGCCCTGTGTTCGTTCGGGCTTCGCCATTTTTCGCGGGCATTGCATCATTCTTCGTTTACATATTACGACTTTGTTTCGTTTACACATTACGACTTTTGTTACTGGCCTTGACGATTGCCGTTGGAGCGGCTACATGGCCAATAAGAATACAAAGAAGAAGAAGAAGATGGCTGCTCTCATGCTTCTCTTTCTCTCTGATTACAGCTCTTTAAATTTTAGTGATGATTGATTACTCCGAATCGGCGCCTCTTCAAGAATGCATTATTGAAAAATGATAGCGAAAAGTGCAGAAAAAATATTATACACCATTAAAAAATATAATGTATTTCTTCCATATATATGTAATAGGCATGATCGAAGAAAATTGTCATTTAAATCGACATTATTTTTTATTTAGCGACTTACTTATTTTTACTTGAAACAAATTGTAACATTTAATATTTCGTATATTAGTCCATTTATATTTTATATGATAATATGTTTAATATAAATGGAATAATATATTAAGATAATAATGTAGTATAAATCGATCGATAAAGAACATTCATCGAAATTAATACATTGAATATATTTTATAAACATTTGCAAATTTACTTGTGAAATTGTTTCGTGCTATTAATGACTCATCGGCATTGTCTTTAAAAAATATATATATATATATATCATTGTATGTAATATTTCAATATAACAAGGAGACGAAAGAAAAGAAGAATAAGAGAGAGAGAGGAAAAGAAAAGGAAGAGAAAAAATGAAAAAAAAGGATAAAGATTAAAAAATTAATTTGCAGTTCTGTTATAAATGATTATATTTTATTTTATATTACAAAAAGAATCTTTTACTACGTATAATGTACCATTTAATGAAGTCAACTTCAGATGTGGCTTGAATATACATCTTATCCTCTCTCTCCCTCTCTTCCTCTTGTCTTTTCTCTGTTCTTTAAATGTATATAATATTCTTGCAAATAATAATCATTGAACATCTACTTAACAGCTATTTCTGAGCTGATTTAAAATGACTGATATTCCCGTACCGATTAATTCGCAATGAACGCAGGAGAAAAAAAATCTCGAGGTTGCTATATAAATGTCAGATGGTACCGGGATCATTCCTACGTTAAATGTTAAACAGTCTATCGTAGCTACGGAGAAAATATAATTACGCTCGTTGACGTTCGTATAATATTTGTATGTGTATGTATAAATCGTTCGTGCTAATCTCCGCGATGTTGGTACATTTTTTTAGACAATGTATTATCAATGTCGTAACACTAAAGAGTGCATTTACAATATGTACAATATTCTGGGTCCATGCTCCAAATTTTGTTACAAAGATCTTTCTTTTTCTTTTACAATTGAGAACATAATATAAATATACAAAATAATATTATTAAATAATTAATCCTATACTCACTGATTGATACATTAAGAAATTTACATATTAAAGTCAAAAAATTAATATATAAATCCATGTAAATGTAGCAATTGACATTAATACAATCACAATTAACTTATCTTCCGTGGAATATTAAATTGAATTGTATGCAAATTCTTTATTAGCAATTAATATTTAATCCTAATCGATATTGGCTCCAAAATTTCATTAACTAGTATTAAAAAATCCAATGTTTAAATTAATATACCTTTATTATTAATATATCTATATTGTTGTTCTATAATATTAGTTTTAAACACTTTATTTGGTTCAAAGCTTTTTTTTTGTTTAATTCTAAAATTAAGCCTTTTAAAAAATTTTATATTTTAGTTTTAAGTCAATATAATTGATTTTAAAAGTTAAAATTCGAGGGATAAGCTCATGTAACTTAAAATTATGTAAGGAATACATTTATTCTAAACAATTTTCATAACATAGTTGAAAGTGTCCAGGTCCACGAATGGACCTGCGAATACAGATTAGTTAATACCATATAATCATAAGGCGTTAAAAAAACGATAGAATCTCTTATTTGTAGTGGCACATAAAATGTCTTATATTATTAATGATGTCTTTTAGAATTAGCTGGTTGCAGTAAAAAAATACGGAATATATACCTTCTGCAAATAGTGTCATGCAGTTCGCATAATTATTGCCATAGAAAATAATTTCTCCAACTCTCTGATTGACAAAGTGCAAAAATATTTCGCGTAAATGCAACATGGACCCAATTACAGCGCAGCATTCCGACCTTCGTCAGAATGTTTTACTCGCGCATTGTTACATCAAGAGTTCTCCTTGGAATTCTTCTAGAGATAATAATTATTCCAGCACACATTACGCAGTTGGTTAATTTCTTAGTCTACGCTATTACAGCTAATCGGACTCGATACCTGAGTCCCATTCTTCTCTTTTTCTCTCTCTCTCTTTCTCACATACTTCTAGTCTCACATATCGTGATCTAAACGCACCACCGTCGGGAAGCTCACCGGGCGGGACGCAATAAGAGCTTTTGTGGAAGCCTTGAGCAAATCTGCCCGCCATCCGTTTACCAATCTTCGGCAGACAGATTCTGATATTATTGTTCACAATGTACCTTCTTCTTGGCCTTCTCTCTAGATTACTTAACTGGATCTGTCTCTCAAATTCGCTCTATTTTTCTTCTTTCTCTTCAGCTTAATAATCTTAAATACGAACTTGACGAATAACTCGGTTGCGTACTCTTTGGGATCCTTTTCAGAAAATACGATTTACAGAGTTTAAAGAAGATTAAAAAAGATACAGGTAGGTGCAAAATTATTAATACGCATTATTAAAATGAAACGCTGATCGATAATGACAACATGATAGATGAAAGGCGTAACAGAGGAAAGAGATTTTTTTTTAAAAGATTTTTCAAAATAATTATAGTCTAAATAAAAATTCACGGCGCCGATACGCAACCTTTTACGACGTGAAGGAACTTTGTGAAGGACGTAAATGTACAGAAAGACCGTATCGGTCCCTCGAAAGGACAGAATTGTTTTTGGTATATGTAAGTTGTCGAAGGTGTGCGCTTCCACGACTGGACACTATTTAATTCATTATTTTTAACGACTTCAGAAATTGTGCTTCATTATCGTTATCTATTCAGATATCAATTAACAAGAAGCAGAAAAGTATTAATTATAGGCTTTAAAAATTCACTGTCATCACTGAAAATCTATAGTTTGCATTAGGTACACTATAAATTTTCACTGACAATGAACTTTGGAATACAGCCACAGAAACCGCACCAATTATCTTATTAATAGAAATAATACTGTTCATAAATGTCGGAATTTTATTAAATGTAACGTATAGAGATATTAAACATTGATAATTATGCACAGTTTCCGAATTACAATTATCTTTGTAGATATAATACAGATTAATATGTTCGAATCTCTCTGATGCTAACGTTTCTCCAATCGCATGGAACAGCGCGGACGGCTAGGTAAAGTTGAGGACGAAATTTCTCGTGAAAAATAGTGAGGACAGCTTTCTCGAGAAACGGAAGGATCTTTCTTTTTGCCTGGCTCGTTCCCGACAGTGGTGCGAGGCGAAAAGGGAAGGGACGGTGGTCTGAGACTGGCTCGGTTTGTGGACACAAATTAGCCCGACCTGTGTCTAGCGCCTAAATACGAATACAAGTATCTCACAAAATTTCCACTTTTACTCTCACAGATTAATACTTAGGAATTAGAATTAATAGATAAAATTAACTATCCAGAGACGATTGCACCAATGTAGATCAAAGTGAGATTAAACGAATTTTTTTTCCTCTTTTCTCGATGTTATAATTAACTATAAAATTTAAAAAGAGGTAAGGACCGTTAATCGAGTTATTGCAATAAGCTAGTTACAAGTTAGTGCGCGAGTAACTCCTAAAAAAGTAAACTAACAATATTGTTCTATTAATAATAATAAACTAATAATATAAGATACATATAAAATAAGGAAATAAATCATGAATAAAATAAAAATCTGAGAAAAATGGCTTTATTCCGAAATAAAATAAGATCGACATTGAATTGTATAAAACGGAAAATAGTGTCTCTATTCGCGACACGCGTCGTAGACACAGGTGACGCGTTAATTACAAGATATAGATATAATAGCGACAACTGATCAATCGATTGATAGTCGATAAACGATCAATAAATTCTCTTTAGATAATTTGTCCTACCTTGACGAAAAGTCGACAAAGACAATAGTTACAATAATAAATATACAATTGCAGCAATAATATCGAGCAATAATAATAAAGACAATAGTAGTAACCGCGATAACAACAAATTTGATTGACTGACAAATCTATGACATAATTTATGTTGTATACATGTACAAATTTAATCTTGCAGGACACTCTATTACATTTTTTCAAATCGTGCGTACATCATAACATGATATACAATAATAACAATATATTTATAAAATACTAACATAATTCGAAATTTCATAATTGAATTACATAATTGATTGTTTTAACTGGAATGATTCGCTTTACAATTTATAAATTATACATATATATTACTAGAAAGATATATGTATGTGATACACGATGTATCTACAGAATGTATTAAGATAAAAGAGTATCCTGCGAGTTGCGTTGAGCACACTTATCACGATAATTACACTCCTGCAAAAGTGCAAGAGTAGCGGTAATCAATGAAATTGTAATTAGAGCTCTCGTCGCGTGCCCTTTTGTTGAAACAATCACTTCGTAACTCCATCGAACGAGATCAGCGATGATTATGCGTCAAGTGTTAATTGCCTTACGAAGTGCCTATTTCACAATAGAAAACGTATACATAAAAATATAAATAAACATAACTTAACAAACGATGAAACTTACACATCGAGTAGCTGCATTTACATAGTGCAGTAACTCAATATAATAGTTAACTTCTAATGAACAATAGGTGTAGGTTCAACAAGCTGCCAAGAAGTCAACATAAATGATCTAGAATCCGTGTTTAGGCCGTTCCTATAACAAAATCGCGAACAAAAGAACATGGTTCCACGCGTTGCGTATTCCAGAATTAACAACAACGTATACCGATCTGTGATAAAGAAACATAAGCGTTGGATACTTGGACTTGGAACATCCTACTCTGCGGCTTGAAGAGAAAAACATATGTATGTGCTGCCAAAATTATGTATAATTTGCCACTTCTAAAATTTATAAAATTCTATTTTGTGACATCGAAATAAAGAGCATTCTTTAGATAGCACGCAACATTCTATAAATGTTAAATATATAAACATTCTAGAGTGAGTTCACAACCAGCAGGCAAGTTTTGTTATCTTTATAACACTACTGATGCGATTTGACAACTTTTTTTTATCATGATAAAAGAGTTTTTGTTATGATAGTATTAAGAGTTACAGAATAGAAGTGCAAGTGTTTCTCATCACTTAAATGCTTACTGCACGCTAAACGCGGTTGGGCGATGAATGATGAATGATATCCAATAAAAACTCTGTTTTTCTCACGCTGCAAAGCAGAGCTCTAGGCAAGCCTCGTAGGTAAAAGTCGTTTGGAATTCCTTCAATTTTCCTCCAAAGTAATTAAGTTAATCCAAAGTATATTTTACAAGAATGTTCATAGAATATTCTGTGCTATCTAGATTACTCTTATATTTCTCTGTAATATTATTTTCTCTTCGAAACAGGGAGCGTAAATCGTTTCGTTTCTAGCATACTAAAATATTCTTGCGACTCGACAACGCGTAAAGCGTAAAGGATCGTAAAACGGTTTCTCACGGGTGAAAGAAAATCGGTAAAATAAAACAAATGAGCATATGAGTGAACTATTGTAGCCGGGTGACAGGTGTGACCTGAGGTGACACACTACTTGGAAGATGGGTCCCTATATCATGTATTTTATTCTGTTATCGTTTAAAATTTTCAAATCTACTTGCCTACGACATTCCATCTCGCTACTTTGATTATAAATGCTATCGGTCACGCGCGATATTTAATATTGTCTCTATGTGGTATGCAATGTAAAATTCTTGCGTCTTCCGCTATCTACTTACAAACGTTTCTTACGCCGTGCATCTCCCTTTACGCTTTTTGTCCGACAAAACGTTCCGGAGACGATTATTATGCTACATTACGGAACGAAATATCTTTTGAATCGTTTAGAATAAAGCGTTAATAAATAAGCATGCTGAAGCGATAATAGAGCTCGACGAAATCGACGTCTAAAACGTATTTATTCAGTACAATAAAAACGATCGAGAATATATCGATAGAACGCTTGCGCTGATTTAATGCACTTAATAGTTTTGACACGACTTACGCGTGTCATCGCGGAACGTATAATTCGCATTAAACGCGCACGTGGCGACTCCGCAAACAGCGGGCCGCCGTCAACGAAAGTATGTATCCCTACACTTCTTTGTAATTCCTAAATTCCTCTACTAACAATAGTGGTAACACAAGGCAGAGCTCCCCGAAGAGACTCTATGATATGGAGCAAAATCCATGGGGTGTAAAACTGAACATTTCGAAGCCCTTCAAAACGCAGCCCTTACTCCCCCGTTCACCGAGCGCGATTCTCCCCCGTATCAGTGAGGACGGCGTCATCGTTTCCTTCTCTCTCTTATTTCTCTTGTTTCATTTTCTCAAACACTTACGCGTGTCCGTTCATTCCTTTGTAAAAATACGTGTCGTGTATTTTTCAACACGACGAAACGGTTATTACGGATAACGAGACTGCGGACGTTCTCCCTAACGAAAAAGACAATTAGTATATATACTCACTAGAGTCCTCCAGACCCGCGAAACGGGCCTGACAACGAGCAGTAGAAAAATTTGAAAAGGTTCTCAAAATCTTCGCTTCTCAGAATATTTTACTCCACATCTTCATCATTTTCTAGAAGAAATCTCTGCCTAAGTGGGGACGGTTCGTCTGTTGCGACAGTCGCGGTCTACCGCGTCCGTTCGCGCCGGCGGCGTGTCTCCTGGTATTGCGCAGCTCCCGATCGACTTCGAGCTCTTCCAGCTTCATGGTGAGGCCGAGCTTTTGCTGCACCGCTAGGCGCAAAAGCTGATTCAGCGTCTTCCGATCGTCTTCCGCTACGGTAAGCTGCCGCTGAAGTTCGTCCACTTGCGTCACGTACTCTTCGCAGCGTGCAGCGAACATTGCACGCAGACCTGAACAGCGCATGGTTAGCAGGGTTTAACACAACGTAGAGATAAGCGAATGAAATGGAGGGATATTGGAATTGGAGAAGCGTATAGAAATTTTCTGCGGAAGATAAAGAGGAAACTAGGTTTCATAATAGAATGAAAGGCAGTATCCTTACATATTAATGTAATATAGTTATGGCAAAAAAGAAAAATGCATCAACCGAAAACCAGGTACATCGTAGATAGTTTACTGCATCACGTTTCGAAATAAGCACGATAGCAGGCCTATTTTTTTAAACTAAATTTCTTGTGTATTGTTTATTTTTTTTCTTCTTTTTCTCAACATGGAGAGAAGAAAAAATCAATCCTGCAAGAATTTTTTTTCTAAAAAGTAGGCCTAATGACTAGTCACATTTAGGAGGGAAATTTTATATGCAGGTACGCTGATAATTTTTATGTAACACAGTAATTATGGCAAAGAATTAAAGAATTTGAAAAGTCCACTGCGGTACCCCATAGTATTAACAGCAACGAGTTCATTAAAACTGAAAACCAATTTTTAATTGATGTTAGTAGACATGTGTTAGTGAGACAAAATAAAAAAAGTTATATTATTGAATTTTACTAATAAATGGTAGTTTAAAAGTATCTTATAAATGGGTAGTAAAATGGTTTAGTGAAGATTTATTGGGTAAGAAAAGTTACTAATATAATATATGTATATATACAATTATATCTCTTTCTATATATAATTTCCTTTTTTTGCACAAATTTTTCTATTAAATTATTAAAGTATCTAATCGCATAGGAAAGACAAAAAGGGATACAGAAATTAAATACTCACTTGAGAATGTCGCAGCGTTTTCCTTCAACATTCTAAGCTCATTTCTCAGCTTAAGCATCGTCTCGTTAACAATACTCTTCTCGTTCTCGTATTTGCTCTTCAGATTCGTTAACGCTACTTCTGCTGTATTTTTGTTTGATTTAAGCACTGTTCTTAACGTAGCAATCTGTTCCCGCTTAGCGGACAACAAGGCCTTTAATCTGATAACTTGTTCTTGAAGATCTGTTACGTCTGCTTTGTTCTCATTGACAGACGCTGAAAAGATTGAGTTAGAAATTACTTTATTACGAAATTCAATTACATCCATATTAAGCTTTAAGTAGGTAGATAGTTTAAAGATATGCAAGGTAAGATGCTCAGAACACTAAAAAATTTTTAATTTTATATATAGTTATATTTTTTACTAATATAAAAATAATGAACTTTAACATATCTGAGTATGTAGACAATACTTTTTTACAGAATACGATTTTAAAGAAAACTATACCTAGGAGTACAATATTTAGTATTTATGGTAACTATTCTATATATTATATAATTATTATTTTATTATTATACTATTATATATTATATAATTATAGTTACAAATACCAAACATTTTTCTCTCAGTGTGGGTACCCCATCTATTCACTTAAAGAATGAACACACGCTTTCCATCAAGTACGAGAATACACTTACCTTCACAGACGTTGCAAATATTGGATTGCATTCCTTTGACTTTGGATAGTTCGATCGTGTGTTCTACGGCGTTTCTGAGGTGCTTTATTTGGTCCATCGCAGTCTCTATGTGTTTCGCAATTTCCTTCGCTTTGCTGAGGCTCTCTAAATCCTTAATTTTGATGTCAGTCTTGAAAAGAGTCCTACACCAATCCATCTTGCCATTCTCCTCCTCCTTTTCGGGTATCTCCGACTTCTCATGGTCCAACACCACTCTCGAGGGCGTCTCGCCGTTAACGGTGCATACGTGATGATAGAGTTGCGCGAGCTCGTCGGAGAGATTCTGCAAGTCGTTCTGAGCAGAATCAAGGAAACCACCCGCTTCCGCAGTGAGTTTCGACAGAGTAGATACGTCCGACTCGAGTTGCATGCTCCTTTGTTCCGTGTCCAAGAGCTGAAACGAAGGGGGAAAATATTGAGTACACGAATGAAAGCTTTACAGGTCGCAATAAATGCGTTAAGTACGTTTGCCTGGTACTGTGTGTTCATCAGAAATTCGTTCGTGAGATGAGTTTGAGAATAGAATTTATTAAGTAATCGGACAGTAGTTTAGGTTCGCAGACTTGCGAGTGCAGTACGGAGATTTTGCGAAAAATGTATAGCTAGATGATATCTTTCTTCGAGCATTCGTGCAAAACAGGCTCGCAAGTTCCGACCGACATGCTACGTTAGATGCGTACGAAATTTAGATTTAGAAGTGATTGATTCTGACTTTTCATTTCTGAGTGCATTCTATCTCAAAAGCCATGTTGCATAGCGTATTACGATCCGTACGTTGTCTCTTTCGAGCACTCGATAGTAACATTCGTTCAAATGAGCTAATGCCAAGATCCATGTGTAAAAACATAAATGAATGTTTATAACGTTCAGAAGAATAAGATTATTCTCACACGTGGATCTACATTTAATGGAATGAATATTCGTCAGTAGTTTAGCTTCGAAAACATGTACGGTTAAACATATGAGAAGTATCATAGATAGGAAGCGATGTATGGGCTGTTAGGACACTGAGAAGCAAGTATCATTGTACGGATCATTAGAGGAGCCAACAAGACAATTGTTATTAAAATATCTGGTAAATACGTCAAAGGGACCACACGTAACCCAACCTTTTCTCGAAGGCTCTTCTCTGACTCTGGTATCTGAAACGCCACAATTTCTATTCAAAGTCTATCATTTTTGCACGATAATTGCGCCAGTATTGCACACACACTTATATTCTTGCCACTAGCAAACTCTTGTTCTTTTTCTCTTTCATATTTTTTTATATCTTATAACAATATATTTTTAACTAACACCTTCGCCCTTTGTCGCAAGTTTTGCGATAATGCTACTACAAGTACATCTCATGAAATCGTAATAAGATATGGATAAGTGTGTACCTTGTTCCTTAGATTTGTCAATTCCGTTCTTAGCTGCTGCGTGGAGTCGGACACGGTTAAGCCGTTCTCCAATTCGGATAGATCTTTCTGCAACTGATTAATCTCGCGAGCGGACATAGTGCTCCATTGATGATATTGTACAATGGCCTGTTAAAACAGTGGTATCATTAATATAACATTTTATAGTATAAAGTACCTAAATACATATAGTTTTTATTTGTTTTCTTCATATCATAAAATTATTTATTTTATTTTAAATTTAGAAAGTCATATTATATCCCGCGTTGATAGAAAATGACATTTAAAAATTAGCAACTTTTTATTAGAACATTTCTTAAGTGTTTTCTGAATTGAATAATGTTTTATTATAATTAAGATAATAAATATGCATAGCTTCACTTTTTTCTATATTAAAGCTCGTCTGCATAGTACGACAATCGTAGGGTCTTAATATAGACAATCGTAGGGTCTTAAATTATAGGAAATTGACCAATTCTAATCGAGTATTCTTATATTTGATTGCAATTGGTCAGTTTTCTATGATTTAAAGCCCATTCTACAATTGCGTAAGCGTAGTTGTTAATGGTTGTAGTTGTACGAATTAATCACAGTCAAATACGAAAAAATGTTCGACTGTGATTAGTCAATTCTTACAACTACAGCCACTTACAACTACGTTTACGCGATTGTAGAGTGGGCTTGAGACTCTATGATTGTCTACGATTTCTATGTAGACGAGTCTTTATATGTATATTTTCAATTATAATACATTCTCGTAAAATATATTATGAGTTTTCTTAATTCGAATACAAGCTTATGCGATTTCGACTAGGATGCACTAGTGTGCACTGATGCATATGCCATACATAATTATCGTCAAAAATATATTAAAAATAGATTAAATCGTGAAATTTCTAATATATTGTTTTGTACTGTTAACAAATTTGTTGGGGCCAATTAGTGTAATTATCAATAAAGATACCATTTCATAAGAATACACAAAAAAACTTAAGCAATAAAACGTTCTATATTTTAATATATATATATATATATATGAATGTACCTGACTGAGTTTATCTAACGTCGTCTCTTCACTCTGCTTTTCTGGTAATTTTGAGTGAAGATGATGTAACGATTGCACGTGCGCTGACAACTGCACTATTCGCGCAACAAACGATTGCAATTCTGCCTGACTCTTCTCAACCGCGTACTGCGATTCGCGTAGATTTTGCGTCAGATGTGCCTTCTCGGTCTCTGCAAGCTCTAACTGCTTCTCCAGTTTTTTCAATTCGTTCAGATGAATTTCAGAAAACAAGTCAACCTGTTTGTCGGTAGCAGATGTTCCTGGTTCTTGCGTCTTTAAGTCCGCCTCGATTCTGCGCAGTGCAGGCGAATCGTCCTCACCGTCACTGCATATCGTTTGATCCTCCGTGATGCCTCGAATGGAAAGCGCCAAATTGCTAAGATTGTAAATCGACTCGCTGTTGATCCTCTGGTCCAGTTCCTTTTTCAAGGCGTACTTGGCCTCACGTTCGGCCTGTAGGGATTCCAACGCCTCCTCCATCTGCTTCTCCGCTATTTTTTTCAGATTCGTCAACTCTTCCACCTGACTGTTCAATAGTTCAACCTCCTCGGTGAGCCGTCGAATCTCGTGTTTGGCACCTTCGAACTCCACCTGACTTGACCGCAAACCGGACACTTGCTTCTGCAATGAAATATTCTCGTCCTCCAGCTCGGAGTAGTCTTGAAGCAGACGGGTCTCACGGAACCTGCACTCCCGCAAATCCGTTCGTAATGCCTTGCGGTCCGTTTCCGCCTGTTGATGATCTTTCCCGATCTCCTCGCGCTCCTGCAACGCGTGATCACGCTCTGCCTCCACCCGTTCCAATTCATGTCGCAACTGAAAACAATTTCCTACATTTAGCCAAGTCTGCCGAAAATTAACTAATTTTATCAAATGCTTGATAAAAATTCTGTCGACAAAAAAGTACTTATGCAAATTCTGTTATATTCAATATTGTCAGCAAATTGCTGACAGATTGTAATAAAATCTGCTGATTATATGAGAATAAATTGTCGACAAAACCATGCAAAGCTTGTTAATAAACTGACAGTAAATTGAGCGCAAGACCTGATCAAAACTTTACTTAGTTTTTGCTGCCAATTTCCTGTCTGGTTATGTATATAAACTTTGTTAATAAAATCTAAACTTATACTTAATAGAATGGCACTAAATTTGTCACCAACTCTGAATAAGTTTGATGCCAACTTAGCAACAATTTGCTCATTGAATTACGATACTGGATTAAAATGCGTTTCTATTTTACAAAAGTCGATAATTGCGATCGACTTGATACAAACCTGTTTTGTTTCATTTTCTAATTCGATGATCTGCGATTGTAAAGACGTTTCCCGAGCGGCACTCTCATTAAGAAGACTCTCTTCTTGCTCGATGCCGCTTTTTGCTGTTATTTTTGTAGTTGTTTGGAACTTTGCTAGTGCCTAAAATAATGACAAAATATGCACTTAAGTCATATATAAAGAGTAAATATATATCTTTAAACAAGAATTGCGTTTACGTGACGCAAACACAAGTGATAAGAATAAGACCGATTATTCAAGACTGTCCACACAGCAAATTTAAATTTTAAATAAAATTTTAAACAGACTAAATTTTAAATAAAAAATAGATCTAATTAGTATTATATATTCTCATATAGTTATTTTACAAGCATTTTTTTTTTTAATGGTATTCTGGATTAGATAACTAAATATAGGTATCTATACATTGATTGGCCAATAGCAGGTACACTGAATGAGTGAGTCACTCCACATTCCTCCTATAGTCAAATTAATACGGTTGACTTTACCTTCTCTCCTACCTGTTCTATTCTAAGAAAAAGGATCACATTTCTTTCCGCATACTCATTTCATACGCTCCATGTAAACTATTTACCGTGCAGTAATAAAAGTTCACCTACGCCTCATTTGTATTCGTTACACATTAATCGCTACTGCCTTCGCAAGAGCAGAATAAATTTTCTTTCTCTCACGGGCGTGTCGGGTGACGGGGTCGGCTCCAAAAGAGATATTTTGTTTATAACTAAACTAGTGTATTATTTATACTTCAAAATAAAATATAGATATCCCTAATGAAATTTTTTTAAAATTCCTTATATAATCTTTCAGAATTTTTATGCAAATTTCAGAATTTTTCGAATTTCTATATAATGTTATAACTTTTTAAAAAATATAGATCTGTTCTTTTATTGCTAATATATTTTGTTATCCCAGATGAGATAACAAAATATTATGTGTTATCTTTCAAAGTAGTCTCCCCTCATAATATCTTTGATATAAGCTTTTTTTAAAGTTCGTATGTTAGAACGCTTTTAAAACACACTCGTCATATTTTTCTGAATGTTCTTAAAAATATTTATGATGTTTTTGAGCTTTAGGAACAGTATGAAATTTGGAAAAGAGATCCGACAAATAAAATGGATGGTTAATCTTGACAATTTTATTTTTTGACCAAAACTTGTTTCACGATAACTCCCTTGCGCGTATGAATGTTGTATACACATAACTTTCTTCGCTATTTTATTCGCTGAATGTGATTTTTTCAAATTATATATCAAATTATATTATCAAAACTCAAAACATGAAACATTTTGAAGATGTGTCAAGGACATTTACAAGAATGTAATGAGTATTCTGAATAGCACTCCAACTATGAACTCTAAAAATATCTTGAGGTTTTATATCAAAGATAAAATGTATTGATGACTCATGGTGTAAAAATCCAATAATAACAATAATAATCCAACAATTTAATAATGCCAAACCAGGCATGTATGAGGTATTAACATAAAATAAAAATTAGCAATAATGACATATCATAAGTGAAATAAAAATTTCATCTTTAATTACAGTAATGTATAATTGTAATGTAAATTGCTTTAATTATAATTAAAAACTCATATGATATAAAAGAATATAAAAGCCAATGTCAGTTTTTAATACAAATTTAATAATTGAAAATTTTTGTTTAAACTCTTTTATAGTATATAAGTTTTTAATTACAGTCTTTATCAGCTACAATTAACAAAAGAGTTATGTAAATAACACAAGTCTAAATAATAGTATAATAAAAAAATCTTACACCAAAAGGGACTATTTTGAAAAATGAAGTACATTTTGCCTATTTTTGTTGATACAGCACTTTTGTTATACAAAAAGTCTACAATTTTTTAGAATCATCTTGTAATTTCAGACAAAAATTTAGAAAATATAAAAAAGGTATTTTTTCAGAAATCTTATAAATTCACAGTACAACAAATTCTTTAAAATATATGAAATAATACAAGAATTTTGTCATCAGAAATATATATCACATTTAGCAAAAGCGAGAAGAGGAGAGTTCCAATGCGGCCCAATGTGGCAATAGAAAAAAAAAACAAACCCAAGGTCTCAGACATGCACTAACCTCCTGCGTGATCTCTAGCTCGTGTTTCGTGTTCTCGTAGAGTGCCTCGAGGTCGTTACACCGCTGCTGCAGGGCCGACTTCTCCTCGAGCAGCGCGAGTCCGTATTGCGCCGACTGTATCTTCTCGGTGGAGGCCAAGTCGAGCTCACGCGACAGACGCTCGATCTCGGTCCTCAGCTCCTCGATCTCGTCGACGGCGGCGGCCATTACTGCCAGTGCGATGACGACGACGACGAGGTTGATGATGAGGAGGAAGACGACGAGAACGACAACGAGGACGACGACGAAAACCTTGGTGTACCTTCCGACGTTGTTACTCCTCGTGTCACTCCCGCTTCCTAATACTTCTTCTTCGTCCCCTACAATATCTAAAGCATCTCGTCGTTATCGCAAGTGATATGAATGCACGCCGATCGTCGTGATTGCCTCGTCCAAGCACAAAAGCATCTTTCGGTTAATCGTCGAGCTTTATTCTTTCCTTTCCCTCCGACGCCTCGTGTGGTGGCCTCCTATCTTTGACAACGTGCTGTGACGTACGCGAACTCTCCTATGACACCTACCCTACCTATCCTCCGGTTTTTCACATTCTACCTGCGATGCGAGAGCCACCAATCCCACCATCACTAATCGTCACCGCGAGTGACACCAGAGATTAGCCCAGATTAGCCTGAGAGCGTGAGAGCGGCCATGCCCGGGATTTAGCTGTTACCTTTAGGGACCCTCAAGTAAGGGATCAGACAACATCGTCATTAGAGGGATACCGGAAGTACATTAGTTAATGCGCGGGAGTATTCAAATGCATTGTTATTAAGACCTGTATTAAACAAATTAGAATAAAAGAATAAATCCTGCGCATTATACGTGAAATAAAACATAGTTAAGAACTTTGTGAACTGCTCCCTGTCTTTACGTTAATATAAATATCATAATTCTGTCATTATATACATATATAATGATAGTAATATAATATTATATCTATTTAGGGTCTGCGCACAATGGAGGAACAGATATTAGATATTAAAATATTAACCTATCAGAATCGTGTATTCCGGTGTAACTGGTATCTGATAGGTTAATATTTTAATATCTAATATCTGTTCCTCCATTGTGCGCA